TTTTTTTGAGAGGTTTTTGCTATAGGGCACATGCGCTCGCCAGAAAGACAGGGACAGAGAGACAGAAAGCGAGAAATTACCCCCCAGGGGGGATGGCCATGCTGCAATCCCTTCTCCTCCATTCTCCTCTCGGGATCTTGGGCACACACGCACACATGCCTGGCGTGAGTTTAAGCCACCAGGTCCAGGACTTGAACTGCGGTTGACTACATGGGAGTCCAGTGACACAGCCATTATGCTAACTGCTGGCCCCTCGGATTGCTTTTTATCACTCTGGAGAAGGGAGGCAGAGGCAGGGAATTCTCAGAGGCCTGTGAAATGTTGGCAATTGCTGGCCTTGGGCTATTGTGAGTTCTGGGCCCACCCACATCAGCAGTACTTCTGGGTTTAACCACTGGAATAAAATGACCAACAATACAGGGGCCCTATCCTCATGCTGGGGGAGACTTTAAAGAAAAATTATCCCAAACTTGGAAATAGGCAAAAAGATTGTTCCAGGAGCCAGGAGGTGGCATTGGTAGTTAAGGTGCTGGATTCCCACATGACTGACTGTGGTTCGAGTCCTAGATCTGGCAGATCAATTTCTCACTTTCCCTCTCTCTGTCTCTCTCTGGTGAGCACACATGCCTTAGAACAAATTTAAAAATAATAATCAAAAATTTTAAAAATCGCTCCATGTTCTTTCATAGTCATATGAAACTATGGTGTAACAGTCCCACCTACTGGTCACCTGATACTTTAGAGGAAGATAACTTTGTTTGACTTACTATTAATATTTAATACTGGTTGGGGCCAGCAGGTGGCATGGCAGTTAAAGGCGCTGGACTCCCACATGGCTGATCACGGTTCACATCCTGGACCTGGCGGCTTGCTTTCTCACTTTCCATCTCTCTTTCTCTGTCTCTCTCTGATCAAACTGGATAATAATGATAATAATAAATAAATAAAGTTAAATAAAAAATAATTCTTTAAAAAATTTAATACTGGTTGGAGTTTGACTCTGCAAAGTTAGATGTTTAATTTCTTTTCTTTTTTAAAATTTGTTATAGGGTGTGTGTGTTCACGGGAGAGAGACAGAGACAGGGAAGGTGACAAAGTACCCTCCAGGGGGACAGCCACACCCCAATCTCTCGTTCTCTGCTCTCAGGATTTTGGGTATGCACACATGCCCAGAGAGTTCTTTTTAAATCATTAGGCCCAGGACTCAAATTATGCTGTTGACCATGTTGCATCCAACAACCCCAATCACCACACCACTGGATGGCCATTGGATGTTAGCTTTTTAAAAATAAGTAAGTTGCTAGGCAATTTCACTTCTAGATACACCCAAAAGAATTGAAAGCAAGGTCTGGAAAAGACGTTTATACACCCATTCGTATTTTTTTTTTTTTGAGAGATTTTTGCTATAGGTCAAAAAAGCACCCCCCCCCAATGGGGGATGGCCATGCCAGAGTCCCTACTCCTCCATTCTCCTCTCAGAATTTTGGGTATGCATGTACATGCACACAGCAAGAGTTTTAAGCCACTGGGTCTGGGACTTGAACTTAAGTCAGCCATGTGGGAGTTCAGTGCCTTAACCAGTATGCCACTAGCTGGCCCCTATGTACCCATTTTCACAGTACATTCACCATAACCATAAGGTGGAAACAACTCGAGTGTCTATTGTCAGATGTGTGAATACATAAAAAGTATAGGGGCCAGCAGGCTGGTGGTCAGCTACAGTTGGAGTCTCAGACCCAGTGGCTTAAAACTCATGCTGACGTCGACCACGGTTTGAGTCCCGGACCCGGTGGCTTAAACTCACGCTGGGTGCGTGTGCGTGCGTGCCCAAGATCCCGAGAGTAGAATGGAGGAGAAGGGATTGCGGCGTGACCATCCCCCCTGGGGGGTGATTTCTTGCTCTCTGTCTTTCTGGCGAGCACACACGCCCTATAGCAAAAATCTCTCCAAAACAAACAAACAGACAAACAAACTCAATCTGGGTGCATGTGCATGCGTGCCCAAAATCCCAAGGGGAGAATGGAGGGGAGAGATTGTGGCGTGGCCATCCCCCTGGGGGGGTAATTTCTCACTTTCTTTCTTTTTCTCTGTGTCTCTGGTGAGCACACCTGCCCTATAACAAAAATCTCTCAAAAAAAAAAAAAAAAGAAAAAGAAAAAAAAAACGGTTACGATGGTAAATTTTATGTTATGTGTATTTTGTCACAATTAAAAATGACAGAATGTAGTAGTTCTTTCTGGAAAAAATGGATAAATTGTGAATATTTTTTAAATATTTATTTATTTATTATTACTATTTAATTTGCTATGGGTCACACACACTCACCAGAGAGAGACAGGTGGGGGATGATGGGAATGAGAAAGCAAGCCATCAGGTCCAGGACTCAAACCATGATTGGCCATGCGGAAGTCCAGCACCTTAACCACCATGCCACCTGCTGGCCCCATAGATTTTTTTTTTTTCAAATAGATGCAAATGAATTCTCTCTGAAAAAAGAGATAACTCCGAAGTGTAAAGTTTTATGGAGTTATAGAATACTAATCATTTTTCCTAACTAACTTTGCAATATCATTCCAGTATTCTGTTTTCTAGTAAAGACCATACTTCAGGGTTCAAAGACAAATCTAGGGCTAGTAAGCTTATCCGAGTTTAATTAAGCTAGAGATAGAGTCTAGAACTGGATAGCATTCCCCACTGAAATTGGTGCAGACTGCACTTCCCACTCATAGGTTTTAATAGCTGAGGGTTTTTTTGTTTGTTTGTTTGTTTTTTTTTGTTTTTGCTATAGGGCACGTGCGCTCGCCAGAAAGACACAGAGAGCCAGAGAGACAGGGAGAAATCACACCGCCCCCCCCCCACCAGGGGGGATGGCCACGCCGCAATCCCTTCTCCTCCATTCTCCTCTCAGGAGATCTTGGGCATGCATACACACGCTCGGCGTGAGTTTAAGCCACCGGGTCCGGGACTCAAACCACAGTCGACTTCGTGAGAGTCCTATGACAGCCATTACGCTAACTGTTGGTCCCAATAGCTGACATTTTCAACCAGAGAAAACCAAGTGACATACAGACCAAGGGAGTAACATGAAAGCCCAACCTGATTGGCTGCAGCTGGCAGCCAATGTTCTGATTAGTTTGGCAGCTTGTGATTGGCTGAGGTCCTGCTGCTACTGTTAGAAGAAGCTTAGTTTCTAGATTATCAAGAAGCTCTCTGGGGCCAGCAGTTGATGTAATGGCTATGTTGGTGGAACCCCACATAGTTGACTGTGGTTTGAGCCCTGAGCCTGGTGGCTTAAACTCACAGTGGCCTATTTAGGCTAATTTAGTTCAGTAAAATATCAGTTTCTCATGTTCTCCTTTGAATCAGATTTATCATCTTGCTAGTTCTCTCAATAGCGAGGTCTGTGTGTTTGTTTAATAGTGAGTTAAATCTTTGACATGTGCTCACTATTTTGAATAGGAAGTCTTTATGTAAAAATGTCAAGGTTTGGGACCAGCAGATAGTGAAATGGCTATGCTGCTGAACTCCCATGCAGCTGACTGCGGTTCGAGTCCCGGACTTGGTGGCTTAAAACTCACACCAGGCACCTGTGTGTGCGTGCCCAAGATCCCGAGAGGAGAATAGAAGAGAAGGGACTGTGGTGTGGCCATCCCCCCTGGGGGGTGATCTCTTGCTTTCTGTCTCTCTGTCTCTCTCTGTCTTTCTGGTGAGCACACGTACCCTATAGCAAAAATCTCTCCCAAATAAAAAAAAAAAACTGTCAAGGTTTTCAGGGCCATCAGAGGCTAGTGGTTACGTTGCTGGATCCCACATAGCTAACTGTGTTTGGAGTCCCAGACTGGTGGCTTGAAAATCATGCCCCGGGGGCCACCAGATGGTGTAGTGGTTATGTCACTGGACTCCAACATGGCTAACCATCGTTCAAGGCCCTGATCTGGTGAAACTCACTACGGGCACATGGTGTGCATGCCCAAGGTCATGGGAAAAGAATAGAGGAGAAGGGATTGGAGAATGATCATCTTCCTCCCCACCATGATTTCTCACTTTCCCTCTCACTGTCTCGGTTTCCCCTGAGAAGGGATTGCGGCGTGGCCATCCCCCCTGGGGGGTGATTTCTCGCTTTCTGTCTCTGTCTCTCTCTGTCTGTCTGGTGAGCGCACGCACCCTATAGCTAAAAACTTCTCCAAAAAAAGAAGAAAAGAAAAAAAAAAAAGGTCTGGGGAAAATAAAAAAAGGTCAGGGGAAAAAAATTTTTTTTTTGGAGAGGTTTTTGCTACAGGGCCTGTGACTTGCCAGAGAGACAGAGAGAGACAGAAAGTGAGAAATCATCCCCCAGGGGGAATGGCCATACCACAATCCTTTCTCCTCCATTTCCTCTCAGGATTTTGGCCATGCACACACACTTTCTGTCTCTCTGTCTCTTTGTGTCTCTCAGGGGAGCACACGTGCCCTATAGCAAAAATCTCTCTCTTAAAAAAATTGAATGAAACAATAGCAAAAGCACAGGGTAGTTTACTAAGTAAAAGTGAAAGTATTCCCCCAGAGGTAAGAGCAGGCTTGAGCAGAGAGAAAGAGTGTCTCAAGGGCCCCAATAGTTACTTTCCAGGGTTTATGATTTCTTTGCCATAGGGAGTGTGCGCTCCCCAGACAGAGAGAGACAGAGGGAGGGAGAGTGAGAAATTGCCCCCGGGAGGTATGGCCACACCGTGATACCTTCTCCTCCATTCTCCTCTCAGGATTTTGGGTACACACATACACATGCCCAGTGCAGTTTTCAAGCCTCCCAGTCTGGGACTCGAACCACAGTAGGCCATGTGAGAGCCCAGTGCCTTAACTACCACACCACCTAGACCCTAGGGGTTCATAATTTCTTTAATGGGGTGGTGTGAGTCATCTCATTGGCTATATCAAATATGGTTTATTCAGTTAGACACCCCCAAATGGACATTTTTCACCTACATTACCTCAGGCGGGGCATTTTCTGCTCTGATCAGTTTTTCTGTCCAGCCACATAGGCAGATGCTCAGTCCCCTACCTGCTTCCATTTTCTAGCTTTCTTCCTGACTCACTATGATTACAATTTTTTTTTCTTTTTGAGAGGTTTTTGCTATAGGGCACGAGCACTTGCCAGAGAGACAGAAAGCAAGAAATCCCCCCCCAGGTGGGATGGCCACGCTGCAATCTCTTCTCCTCCATTCTCATCTCAGGATTTTGGGCACCCATGCACATGCGCCCCACATTGAGTTTTAAGCAGCTGGGTCCTGGACTGGGACCATGGTCAGCTATGTGGGAGTCCAATGACGTAACCATTATGCCATCTGCTGGTCCCTGATAATATTTTCTTTCTTGTTGAACCTCTTTTTTTGTTTGCTATGAAGCATGGGCCCTCTCCAAAGAGAAACACAGAGAGAGAAAGTGAGAAATCATTCTCCAGGGACAGTGGCCACACCACATCCCTTCTTCACTGTCCTCTCAGGACTTAGGGTTTGCGCACATGGCACCTGGCCTGATTTTCCAGCCCAGGGTCTGGGACTGGAACCGGCAATCAGCCACATGGGATCTAGCCACCTTAAACTCCAGCCATCTGTTGCATGTTTACTTAGTGATTTTTTATAAAAACAACTTCGCTGTAGTACAGTTTACATAAAATGCACCTATTACACATGTTTAGGAGTGTTGACGAATATATGCACCCCTGTAAACCATCACTCCAATCAAGACATAAAACATTCCCATCACGCCCAGCAAATGCTCTCCTGCTCTTTCGCACTCTCCCGGCCCTAAAGCAGTCAGCCATTGACTGATTCTATCTGGAGAGATGGCTTTTGCCATTTTCTGAACTTCGTGTTCAGAAGTGGAGTAATTTTTTTCTAAACTGTTATATTTTGAAGGGATAATTAAAACAGGTAACGACAGAGCTGGGTGATAAAAGTTTAAAGAACACAAGTCTTGTACACTTTTAGGTCAGTAAGGGGGTTCTGCAAAAATTAAGGGCAGTGCCAGCGAGGGGCTATGAGGGCGAAGAGGGGCCAGAAAAAAAGGGAGCGAGAGCGAAGGCGAAGGCTCGGAGGCAAGTGCGATTCCGACTCAAACCTGGATTTCCTACTTTGGGTCCATTTTATTCCCAGGGAAACAAGTGTGTTTTCCAAGCTTTCCCCAGTCTCAGCAGGACAATTAGGAACGATAAACGAGGTGCTCTACCAGTTATATTTCAGCGTGTTTCCGCCCCACTAGACTCTGAGAGCAAGAACCCTCTCCACGCAGCAAGCGCCAGTAACACCGGGTGAACGAATGCACGCCAGGGAGCTCGCCGGCCCGCGAACCCTCGGCGCTCGGAGGTGCAGTGGCCCAGAAACCCTTAGGACCACAGGCGGTGCCGAGGCCGCCTCCAAAGGCCGAGGAGACGCTCTAGGCGGACAGCGCGCTCCTTGCTACGGCGCCGCTCTAGCCGCGAGGACGCCGCTCTATGACCGCGGGGAAGGGGCGGGGCCCGTGGGCGACCCCGGGCCTTTTTGTCCCGACGCGGCGGGACCGCGCTCGGCGCGTGCGTACGCGGCAGTGGTTGGCGGCGCGCGGGTGGCGTGAAGCGAAGCGAGGAGAGGCGAGGCGGCTC